TTTTCTCTTTTATTTGCTTCCATAATTTGTTTTGCACAAAGGTAGTTAGGCAAGGTCATTCTATTCCTCTAGGAGTAATGGCCTGGTTCCGTCATGCATGCACTAAAAGTAAAATTAAAATGCTACCGTATTTCAATTGGCAGTATTTGCAGATCACCTATGGGAAGTCTTGCGCACTCAAGAGTTAACTCTTCCATAACCAAGTTATGAGATAACATAGGGGAAATACCAAGATCTATTTGAATGGTCAAACTGGCACAAGAGGCTGAGCATTCTTGTTCCACACAGCTGACTTCTTCTTTCTTGCCTGATAAATAAGCAGAATAAAATCTGATGTTGAGTTTCGACATCAGTTTGCTTCCTAAAAGTGTATGTCCAGCGCTTCTGCCAAAAACAAGCAACAGCCTTTAAATATCCACTTAACTGAAAATAAAATGCTGCAGATGCTGAACATCTGCATCAAACACAGAATGCTGGAGAAACTCGGCAGGTCTGGCAGCATTCATGAAGAGAGAAATAGAGTTCAGGTTTCAAGTCCAGTATGATTCTCCTGTGGAAGGGCATCATTAGAACAGATGTCGCAGAGATGGAGAAACGGGAAGAATGGAATGGAGACTTTACAAGAAGCAGGGTATGAGGATGTATAGCTCAGGTAACTGTGGGAGTCAGTGAATTTATAATGGATATTGAGGTTCAGCCTATCTCCAGAAATTGAAACTGTGATGTCGAAGAAGGGAAGGGAGGAGTCAGAAATGGACCAAGTGAAGGTGAGGGCAGAGTGGAATTTGGAAGCAAACTTGATAAACTTTTCTCATTCCGAATGCGAGGGAGAAACAATATCAATGATGCCATCAATGTACTGGAGAAAGAGTTGTGGGAGGGCCCCGAGTAAGATTAGAATAAGGAATTTTTCATGTACCCCACAAACAGACAGGCATAACTGGGGCCCATGTGGGTACCCATCGCCACCCCTTTGATCTGAAGGAAGTGAGGAGAGTTAAAGGAGAAGTTGTTTAAACAACATGGCCAGGCGGAGGTAGAAAGTGATGGATAGGGACAGTCAGGCCTTCTTTCTAGGAAGAATTGGACAATCCTAAAACCATCCTGATAGGGGGAATGCACGTGTAAAGGGATTGCAAGTCCATGGCAAAGAGAAGGTGGCTGGTGACACGGTAGAAATGCTGAAACTGACATAAAGCATCGGAAGAATCATAGATGTAAGTGAGAAGGGACTTGACATGGGAGAAAAAGTTGGTAGGAAACGTAGGAAAAGATAAATTCCATGGGGTAGGCTCAGGCTGAAACAATTGTTCCATTTGGGCAATCCTGTTTGTGGATTTTGGGAAAAAGGTAGAAGAACCAATGTCCTGTACAGCTGCAACATGACCTCCCAAATCCTATACTCTGCACTGGCCAATAAAGGCAAAAATACCTCCAATTTTGATGTCATCTACAAACATACTAACCAGACTAACTTACTAACTTCTATGTTTACATCCAAATCATTTATATAAATGACAAAAAGCAGTGGACCCAGCATCAATCCTTGTGGCACACCGCTGGTCATAGGCCTCCAGTCTGAAAAGCAACCCTCCACCACCACCCTCTGTCTTCTACCTGTGAGCTAGTTTTCCTTGTAGTTTGCAGGCTAGTTCTCCTGCCTTACTGAAATCCATAAAGATCACGTCCACTGCTCTGCCTTCATCAATCCTCTTCATTGCTTCTTCACAAAACTCAACAAGTTAGTGAGACACAATTTCCTATGCACAAAGCCATGTTGGTTATACCTAATCAGTTCTTGCCTTTCCAAATACATGTAAATTCTGTCCCTCAGGATCCCCTCCAACAGCTTGCTCACCACTGATGTCAGGCTCACCGGTCTATAGTTCCCTGGCTTTTCCTAACCACCTTTCTTAAATTGTGGCACCACATTAGCCAACCTCCAGTCCTCCGGCACCTCACCTGATGATACACGATGATACAAATATCTCAGCAAGGGGTCCAGCAATCAATTCCCTAACTTCCCACAGAGTTCTCCGGTACAAAGTCAGGACCCATGGATTTATCCACCTTTATGTGTTTTAAGACATCCAACACCTCCTCCAGTGTATTATGGACATTTGTCAAGATGTCACTATTTATTTCCCCAAGTTTTCTATCGTCCATATCCTTCTCCACAGTGAACACTGATGCAAAATACTGGTTTAGTAGTTCCCCCATCTCCTACAGTTCCACACATAGGTGGCCTTGCTGAACATTTCTTGTAGTTTTTTTTCTAATTTTCATACTACTTTAGAAAAAAAATGGTGGAAATACCCAGATTTTGGACATGCATAGGTAGGCCTTTTTAATGTAGAAAAATAATTTTGTATTTTAAGATGTATTATCTTCTGGAAGCGCTTTGGAGCTGATTTGTTCGAACAAGTCAAAGCAGCTTATTTTGGTAAATTGCATCAGCAACAACCTCTTGTGTTTGTTTTTGTTTCCAAGAACAGGTAGCGTACTCCCTGAAAAAAAACTACAGATGCTGGAAATCTGAAACTCAAACAGAAAGTGCTAGAGAAGCTCAATAGGTCTGGTAGCAACTGTGGAGAGAAAGCAGAATTAATGTTTTGGGTCTATCTTGAGGTTTAGTTATAATACTAACTATTTACAAGGCTACAATATCACAAACTTACTTACATAGTATGGGTTCTTTGCTTACTAATATTACAGTACATTACACAGACATAGCCGACAGACTACACTGACTTCATTACATGAAGAGTGACTGAAAATCACCGTCATGATGTCACATAGTATTGTCTGGAATCTATGCCATAATACAACACTTCTTTCCCTTGGACTGTTATCCTTCAGTCAGGATACAGCTACCGAGCGATTTTTCTCAAAGTGGAATTTTTAACCCCTAAGGAAGTTTTGAGATCTTTTCTCTCCATGTGGTAATTGGGTCCTATCACCTACGAATTTGCTGGCATTTTCTAGCTTAATTAGCCTTGGTCTTTGTGTGTTTTGAATCTTGATAAAAGAACAATGGTCAACGTGTTTCCTAAGTACATTTTTACGTAATTTGTTTGAACTTCAGTTTTCTGAGTTTTTAATCTGATTTAAATGTATTCTTTGCAACCACTTTATGTACCCACAAATTTTCGTGTTTGAATTCTAGTTTAAAGTATGCATTTAGATTACATTTTAATCTTTAACATAAAATATGTTACAAAAATATATCTATATGAACCTGTATGTTTGAAGTCAGTCCTTATAAATAGAACTAATAATAATGGTTAATCATTCAAATATATGTATAAATGAAATTTAAGTCTTAGTGAATTATCTGTTTCTTCACTAGTATTCAATTACATTGCTATGGTTACTGGCATGCATATCTTTTAATCCTGATATAGCCACACTCTGTTAGTGTGCATGTAATTTGCTGAACAGAACGTAAATTTATAGTTTTCCAAAATTGCAGCTTAATTTATTTCTTTAAAAGAGTCTTTTTAAGGAGGTTTAACTTAGCCAAGTGTTTTAAAATAATTGTTGATTAATCCAAAGCCTTCAATTAAAATTAATCGATGTTTATTATCTTGAAACTATCCGATGCTGGTTTACCTAATTCATTATAACAATTTATGAAATAGCTGCTATCAGGCAGCCATTGCTAAGTTTACCCCAAGATAGCTTCCTTTAGTCTTGTTAGCTAATTCAGTAAATTTAGTCTGAGAATGATTACTTTTTACTAAAAATCACATCAAAGTTTACTTACATCATGCTCCAATCAAACCTGCTCCAATTCTTCCACATCAGCATTAACCTACATTCATTGTTCCTTCATATGCTTGCCAAGCTTTCTCTTAAATACAGTAGTCATTCTTTCATATCCACAAGGGTTCTGTTTCTGAGAACCCCCACGAATGATGAAGTTTGCAAGTGTGGACCTCATTTAAAAAAAAGGTTAAAAGTTGCGGGTACGTGATGTTTGCCTGCAGATGTTGAATTTTATTGTTTCTTATTTCTTGGTGCAGATGGCAAATTTGCAATTCATGATTTTGCAAATACAGAGGATTTACTCTGTATGTACTATTTGCTCAACCGTTCCTTGCAATAGCAAATTATCATATCCTGATGACTCTGTTGGTAAAGAAGATTCTTTTGAACTCCCTATTTGATGTTGAATGCATTACCATCACTAAATTCCCCTGCCTGGGGATTGCCATTGACCAGAAACTTCACCAGACTAACCATAAAAATATTGTTGTTACTACAGCAGGTCAAAGTCTCCCCAGTGCCTATTTAAAAGGCACAAGTCAGGAAAGTGATGGAATACACTTCACTGGTCTGGATAAGTACAGCTCTAACAACACTCAAAAAGCTCAACAGCATCCAAGATACAGTCACATGTGTACCATTTACAAGATGCACTGCAGAATCTCACCAACACTCTTCCAATAGCAGCTTCCAAACCTATGACCTCTACCATTCAGAAGGTCAAGGGAAGCAGATGCATGGGAACACCACCACATGCAAACCACACACCATCCTGACTTGGAAGTATATCACTATCCATTCTTTGTCACTGGGTCAATTTTCCTAGATCTCCCATCCTAATAGCACAAGGACTGCAGTGGTTCAAGAAAGCAGCTCACCAGAGCAATCAAGGATGGGCAGAAATTGCTGGCGTAACTAGTGAACGAATACTAAAAAAATCATATTTAGGAACTTTAGTGTGTGGATGACACCAACTGAAGTCAACAGCACGAGGCATTCCTGACAGTCAGTACTATTTGTTGAAAATACTGATTGACAGCATCCCTTTCTTGTTAGTTTTTTTTATGAAGAAGTAGTCTCTTGCTTTTAAAATTCAGAATATTCCTGCAGAAGCTCTTTAAATTCATGGAATTTACCATTTCCTAAAGACTGTTTTCCTTTAACAAAGTCCAATTTTTTTAGCCAAAGATTATCTATTAGGCTGCTGATAGCAAGTTTCTTTTCATTTTCAGCTAGTGCAGAATTTCCTTACAACGAAGAGAGTACAATCACAGATGGAGTGAATCGAAATTCAGCAATTATTGGCGGTAAGTGTCAAAGTTTGAATTCAGATAATCATTAACAATAAAATAAACAAGTGGAACTAGGAGGTTTCCCCTTTACGAATTAGACTGAGAAACGTGCAAAATATCTTCATGTTAAAGATAGCAAGAACTGCAGATGCTGGAGTCAGAGTCAACACAGTGTGGAGCTGGAGGAACACAGCAGGTCAAGCAGCATCAGAGGAACAGGAAAGTTAATGGGTGAAGGAGCTGGGAAAAGGTAGGTCAGATGCTGATAGGTGGATGCAAGTGGGGAGTAGTGGGGATTGGTGAATGGGAAGGGTGGGGCGGATAGGTGGGAGAGAAAATGGACAGGTTGTGTCGGGTCAAGGAGGCGGGGATGAGAGGGAGGGTCGGACGTGGGATGAGGCTGGGGGTGGGGTGATTTAAAAACTGGTGAAATCTATGTTCAGGCCATTGGGCTCTGGGCTCCTGAGGTGGAATATGAGGTGTTGCTCTTCCAGTTTGTGGGTGGCATCATTGTGGCACTGGGAGGAGGCCCAGGATGGACAAGTCGTCACAGGAGTGAGAGGGGGAGTTAAAATGGTTACCGACTGGAAGGCGTTGTTGAATATAGCGTGCAGAGCGCAGACGTTCCATGAATCGGTCCCCAAGTCTGTGCTTGGTCTCATCAATGTAGAGGAGACCACATTGGGAGCAACAGATACAATAGACCAGGTTAGAAGAAGTACACGTGAATCCCTGTTGGATTTAGAAAGTTTGTTTTGGGCCTTGGATGGAGGTGAGAGAGGAGGTGTAAGGGCAGGTGTAGCACCTCCTGTGGTTGCAGGGAAAGGTGCTAGATGTGGTGGGGTTAGTGGAGAGTGTGGAGCGGACGAGGGAGTAGTGGAGTGAGCGGTCCCTACGAAAGGCAGATAGGGGTGGGGAGGGAAATATCTCTTTGATCGTGGGGTCGGATTGTAGGTGGCGGAAGTGGCGGAGGACGATGTGTTGGATGTGAGGACCAGGGAACTCTGTCTTTATTTTTGTTGGGGGGAGGGGGTTTGAGGGCAGAAGTACAGGAAATGCAACAGATGTGGTTGAGGGCATTTTTGATCAACGGAGAAGGAACGTTTTGGTCCTTGAAACAGGAGGACATCTGGGATGCCCGGGAGTGGAACACTCCACCTTGGGAGCAGATGCAGCAGAAGTGGAGGAATTGGGAGTAGGGGATTGCATTCTTGCAAGAGGGTGGGTGAGAGGAGGTGTAGTCAAGGTAGCTATGGAAGTTGATGGGTTTGAAATAGATGTCGATGCTGAGACGATAGAGACGGAGAGGCCCAGGTAGGGGGGAGGAGGATTCCCAGATGGTCCAGGTGAATTTGAGTTTGGGGTGAAAGCTGTGAGTAAAGTTGATGAACTGCTCAAGCTCCACTTGGGAGCACGAGGCAGCACCTATACAGTCATCAATGTAGCGGAGGAAAAGGTAAGGGATGGTGCCAGTGTAGCTGCAGGACTTTTCCACGTATCCTACGAAGAGGCAGGCATAGCTCTGACCCATACGGGTGCCCACGGCCCCCCCTTTAGTCTGTAGGAATTGGGAGGAGTTAAAGTAAAAGCTGTTCAGGGTAAGGACAAGTTCTGTTAGGCGGATGAGGGTGTTGGTGGAGGGGGACTGGTTGGGCCTGCGGGAGAGGAAGAAGCAGAGCGCTTTTAGGCCGTCAGCGTGGGGAATGCAAGTGTATAGGGACTGGACATCCATGGTGAAGGTGAGGTGTTGGGGCCACAGAATTGGATGTCTTGAAGGAGGTGGAGGGCGTGGGTAGTGTCCAGAACGTAGGTTAGGAGTTCCTGAATGATGGGGGGTGGGGGACAAGAGTCAAGGTAAGCAGAGATGAGTTCAGTGGGGCAGGAGCAGGGAGAGACACTGGGTCAGCCGGGGCAGTCAGGTTTGTGGATTTTGGGAAGGTGATAGAAACGGATAGTGCGGGATTGGGGAACGATGCGGTTGGAGGCTGTGGCCGGGAGGTCATTTGAGGTTATGAATGGTTTGAGAAATGATGGTTTGGTGGTCAGGGGTGAGGTCATGATCAAGGGGACAGTAGGAGGAGGTGTCAAAGAGTTGGAGCCTGGCCTTGGCAACGTAGACGTCAGTGCCCCATACCACAACTGCGCCTCCCTTATCGGTGGGTTTAACGGTGAGGTTGGGGAGGAAGCGGAGAGAGCGGAGGGCTGCACGTTCTGTGGGGGAGAGGTTGGAGTGAGTGAGAGGGGTGGAGAGGTTCAGGCGATCAATGTCACGATGGCAGTTGGAGATGAAGAGGTCGAGGGAGGGTAGAAGGCTTTGGGGTGGTGTCCAGGAGAATGGGGTTTGATGGAGGTGAGAGAAGGGGTCTGTAGAGGGTGGGTCAGACTCGCGGTTAAAGAAATAGGCATGGAGGCGAAGACAATGGAAGAAGAGTGAACAGCACTCATTGATGTGTGGGAGCAGGGGAATGAAGGTGAGTCCTTTACTGAGGACTGACCATACATCCTCAGTGAGGGGGAGATCTGGGGGGATGGTGAAGACCTGTCAGGGCTTGGGGCTGGGGCTGGGGCTAGGTGTAGGACTGTCTCGGGAGCAAGTGTGTGTACAGTGAAGGTAACATAGATGGAAGTGACATTGTCGACGGCAGTGATGTTGTTGGTGTTAGCAACGGAAGTGGCGTTGCCGGCAGAAGTGACACTTCCTGTCCCACCCTTCCCACCGACCAATCCCCACCACCCCATACCTGCACTCTCCTATCACCACCCCACCTACTTTCTCCCAGCCCCACCCCTCCTCCCTCTATTTATTTCTGTGCTCCCTTCCCCTCCCACATTTCTGAAGAAGGGTCCTGACCCAAAATGTCAGCCTTCCTACTCCTCTGATGCTCCCTGACCTGCTGTGTTCCTCCAGCTCCACACCATCTTCATGTTAGACACCTGTAGCTGAGAAGAACTTGTGTCATTGTTGATCAGCTGAGTATCTCTTCACTTGGATCCAAACCTAGTTTTCAGGTTCATTTAGATGTGTTATGTTCAACACTTGGTATACTCCATGAGATCTGCTTTGGTTTCATTCTTTGCAGATGTTTTCAAGTTAATTTGACATTGCTATGATCCCCACATGGATACATAATCCAAAAAGCCAAATGTACCAAACAACCCCTCAAATTTAGAAATAACCAAATGAGGTATCACGTTTTATAACTTCAGCTTTAACACAAATCAGTCAGAGTAAATTAAACATAAATTAATATGCAAATCACAGTCAGTATGAGCCAAACATTACACATGAAATACAAATAATACAAATGATGGTGTATGGGACCCTATTCCAAGATGTCCACCTGCTTTCCCAGAGTTCCAAAATTTCACTGGCACAAGAGAAGGTCACGAGCAGTGAGCCTGCACCCTCAACCTGGGCAACAACATTGTGCAACTGAGATCTCCTAGCTCCGTGCAATTTTCACAAAGTCAGGTCAGCTTCTCAGCTTATGGTTCACAGCTCCTCAGAGTTTTCTGAATGACATTCTGGATGTAGAAGCTTGTTTGAACATATCTTCAAAAAGTCCTATTCTTATACCGCAGGCAAATTACCTCCACCATAGAACCTCATACCCCCTGTGCCAACCTATGCCCCCACACTCATATCCAATGGATCCTAATACCCTTCATGTCGAACCATAGGACTTGCATGCCCACTCATTCAATATACACTCTGTCTGTAACCAATAACAAAAAGTAACATTGCCATTGTGGAAACGCTTAAAAAGTAACCAATCATAACTTGCATTTTTTTAAAAAAAGCTGTCTTACAATACTATAAAAATGTTAACCAACCAGACATTTATTCAATAGCAGAATCTGTAAGCATTCAACAGTCTCCTTATCTTGTATAAATAAAAATTGAGCCATTGACAAAGTGTATCTAACTGTCAATAAAGCAATGTTTTCAGTGCAGTATTCACCCATCTCAACATTCTAAGAGAAATCTGAGCTCTCAGCCAGTCCTCACTATGCGTGCTATAAGCTTGCCTGGAGGATATGAGAAGCGAGTTAGGTATGTGGAGAGGTATGGCTTGGCATTAGATCCATGGATGTGGTATGAGATAGTAAGAAGGGGTGAAGGTTAGAGAGCCTAATGTTAACAACACAACTAGGACAAAGCCTCAGAGAATTGAAGTAGGCCAATTAATCAGCCTGCCTCAGTACATTGGCCATTATGTCCATCTCCAATCTGTGTCCAGGGTGGTGGACCTCACTACAGCTCTGCATCCCTGGAACAAAAATTGCACTGTTCAAGGCACTTTGTCCCAAGGCGGGATGCCGAGTTGAGAAATTTCCCAGCTAGTGCTAACTACCCCTAAATTTCACGAACTACCTCTTGAAAGTCTTGGGTAACTCTTTGCAGACAGTAGCTTCCATGTAAACAGGGTTCCGTCCAAGAGTCTTAGAGAGGTAGAACATGGAAACAGACCCTTTGATCCAACTCATCCATGCCAACCCAATATCCAACATAAATCTAGTCCCATTTGCCAACATCTAGCCCATATCCCTCTAAATCCTTCCTATTCATATGCTCATCCAGATGCCTTTTTAAATGTTGTAATTGTACCAGCCTCCACCACTTCCTCTGGCAGCTCATTCTGTACACACACCACCCTCTGCATGAAAAAGTCGCCCCTTAGGTCCCTTTTAAATCCTTCCCCTCTCACCTTAAACCTATGCCCTCTAGTTTTGGACTGTCCCACCCTGGGGAAAAAACGTTGCCTTTTCACCCTATTCATGCCCCTCATTATTTTATAAACCTCTATAAGGTCATGCCTCAGCCTCCGATCTTCCTTGTTATTTCTAGAACCTTCTTCACGCTCGGCCTTTTAATCTTTTTACCTTTCAACCATGTGGACCCCATATTTTAAAATCCAATTTGTATTGCTTCCAAGTCAAGGGCTGTCAGGTTTCATGGACCAAAATTTCTTATTTAAGAATTATAACTGATCCATCTACGTTTGAACTCAAAGAGTCCAAGAAATCCTTTTAAAACTTTCTCTTAACAAAACAGTTACAGGTCCCCACATATTGTAAAGTAATTATGAATGTTCCTTACCTTTACTGCTTCCAGGTCAAAGACCATCACTGCCATGTGTTCTTTTATTCCATTCATTCTATTCTGTTCTAGCTCCTCCCTCCCTCCCTGTTACGGCTCATACCCACTTCTTGTTATGGCTCTATCCTACTCCCAGAGGTTTCATAAGTATTAGTATTTGTCCTTTTATTTTCATCAATTTCTGAAATCTTATAATTGCTTTGCATGTAGTATGCATTCACAAATTGGTTTCCTTTGAAAACAAGAGGTCTGATAAACTTAATTAGGGGGTATATTAGAGTGTAAAATATGGGCTAATAAATTAGTTGCAGCTAAGTTTCAAACTGAATAGGAATCTGAAGTATCATGAAAATCAAACCTGTGTATGTTACTTCAAGCTAAACTAATTTTAACAGACTGACAATATTTCCAACTATGGCCATATAAACGTTTATTTATTGCACATTATTCATGCAACTATCACGCATCAGGGCACTTAATAGACAAATATAAAGCTTTGAAAATATTTACAACACAGAAAACTACTTAAAAAAACCTATAAAATATTTTATTAATGTAGCATATCTGAGGTGCCTGTAAACTATGCAACTGTTGCCATGTTAATCACACCATTTTGTTGCTGAAATGTTTATTCATTTACTAATAAAGATTTAGTACAACTTCCTTTATTGAAATTTGAATTGGAAATTAAAATTAAATATTGTTTCACTTCAATGATCTGTGATACAAAATCTGATATCACTGCACAGCGTCATTATATGCAAGCTTACATGCATATTTTTTCTCCCAGTTGCATTAATTCAGCAATGAAAGAGCACCACCATCAGTCTGAAGCAGAAAATGCAGCAAAATATCTTCAGATGGTCAAAGTGACAAGTCAGGATCACTAAATGTGCTTCCCCTGTGTATTTACTGAACAAACATCGACCATCAATTAATGGAAATTTTGCAGATTCACTCTTTCACCAAAGTTTGAAATTCTGTCATTCTATATTGGACACAGTAAATTTGTACCCTGTTGGAGTTGCTCACAATTGCTTGGATTTCCTTTCTTATGCAAACCTGGAGCAGTTATTCTGTTTCAGTGAGCTGACCACAATGACAGGTCCCTCTCCATACAATTGCCATTCGATGACTTTCTTGTGTTAAACATGGTTTTAGAAGATAGGCAGTAATCAAGGAAGTATACTCAATGATGAATAAAAGCCACTCACTCTGCTTTTAGTTCTGACATTATACCAACAAACACATACATGGGTTAGCGTATTAAGATCAATTGTTTTTGTTTACTTAGCAAAAATGCAATTAGTTCAACCTAGTTGTTCATTTAGCCACATGTGACTAATTTCTAATGCATGGGAAGACATTGCATTAAAGCAACCTGTCACCTTATACAGACTCAGTAAACAACCTGATGCCGTTTGCTGCCTGGGTTCATGCACAAATAAAACCACAAGACATAGGAGCATAAGTAAGCCATTCAGCTCTGCCATTCAATGAGATCATGGCTGATCTGATAATCCTCATCACTGTTTTCCTGCCTTTTCCCCATAACCAGTGAATCCCTTAAGCTAGTGCTCTTGGATGAGGATACTGAAAGACAAACAATGCATATGAAAGCAAACTTTTCACAGTCAATGTATTCAGAAAAGAATGGGGAAAGTATAAATCTCCAAGCAAAAATAATTTTGACAATCATAATTCACTGTTTAGCTCCTGACTAAATAATCTTTTTTCTCTTTGTTAGGTGTTATTGCAGTTGTAATCTTCACCATCCTTTGTACATTAGTCTTTTTGATCCGTTATATGTTCCGCCACAAAGGAACCTACCACACCAATGAGGCCAAGGGGGCTGAATCTGCCGAGAATGCTGATGCAGCTATAATGAACAATGATCCCAACTTCACAGAAACCATTGATGAGAGTAAAAAGGAATGGTTCATCTAAAATGCTTGCAGAAAGATTCTCCACTGATGTTATTTTGGTGATTCTGAAAAGATGAGCACAAGTGAACCAAAATGGAAAACACACACACAAAGAGGGATTAAGATTCAAAAGAAAACTAAATATATGATACTATGGATTAGCACCGGTTTTGAAAAGAATTTTCCCAAGTATGTAATACTAATTGGAATGCATTTACACTTCAGAACAAAAAGCTGATAGTTTAGATGATTACGCATATGCCAAATACCAATTGTAAATATGTTTTATGTAGATCATACAAGTACAAATGATATGTTTTTGTTGCTGAAGACGCTTATGAAGTTCCTGTATTTTACAATGAAAACAGATAAATCTTCATTGCCAGAGTTTGTGCAAAGAATAATTTGGCATGCTGTGGTTAAAAAAAAACATTTTTTTAAATTATAATTTAAGCTGGTTCCATTTCTTTTTAAATTTTTATTTTGTTTCTTAAAAGAAAAGCTGTTCTCTCAAGCTATTTGATTGGCAAGTTATAAATAAAATGGTCACAGAGATGTGTGTTAATACCTACACTCTTGTGTGTATGTGTGAGGGAGAATACGTGACCAGAGTGCATGATGGGAACTACCAGAGTCTCTCTTCACCCATGGTGCCCTGACTAACTGAAGAATGCTGAAGTGTACACAGCAAATAATTTTAATCTTTCATTTGTATTGCTCAACAATTTCTGTTCCTAATCGTTTATCACTGTATAAATTTTCTATTCTTATATTTTATAAATGTTCATTATCTTGTCCATTTCTAGCCTTTTATGGTAAAATTTTGTGTTGTGCCAGTAAACATTGTTTCTGCTATTAAAGAGTTGCTTCATCGACAGGGAAACATTCACTGCTATAAACTAGTCCACTGAGTTAGAACAGGGTTTATTTTTGCATGCTTAGGCAGTCCAGGATATTTACATTGTGGAAGCTCAGAAGTACCTGTATTTGCCTTTGGACTAATGGGGTGTGATCCATTGTATTCTAATTTAATAAAAACACACTTACACACAGTGTTTTCTGTTCAGGAATTTAGGATAGTTTATAAATTTTGGAATTTACAAATTGTGTCATGCCTTATTTTAAGTATGTACTGTAGTTTGGTTAAAAATTGAAGGGGAATACAACATTAAAAGAGCCTTGCTGTAACTGTGTGCTTTTCTTTATAATGAAGAGTTAATCGTTTGCGTCTGTTGCTAATAAGATATTTTGTACAGATTATGAATTAATTTACCATTAACACTTAGTTTGGGAATCATTCTCACACCACTAGGGACTTATAGTAAGACATGCTGTACGGTGCAGTGACCTCAAAACATTAAATAAAAACCAAAAGAACTACAGATGTTGTAAATGAGGAGCAAAAACAGAAGTTGCTGGAAAAGCTCAGCAGGTCTGGCAGCATCTGTGAAGAAAAATCAGAGTTAACGTTTCAGGTGCGGTGATCCTTCCTCAGAACTGAAGAACCGTTCTGAAGAAGGGCCACCAGATCTGAAACTTTAACTCTGATTTTTCTTCACAGATGCTGCCAGACCTGCTGAGGTTTTCTGGCAACTTCTGTTTTTGTGACCTCAAAACATTATTTGAATTGCTTTGTAGAAATCCTAAATCAAATGTCTATTCAATGGATGAGGCAAAACAATGTCCCAAAGTCATTCTTTAACTACCTACAAAGAGTTTATCTCCAATTTCTGCTTCACCTTTGCTCAGCAATCAGATATGCAAGTAGGTAGAAGACTTTCCTGGTGAGCAAGCTTCACAGTCTGTCAGAATTCACCATACTCACAATCAAGGTGTGATTGATTACAGGTAGGTCGGGCTGACTACTTTCCAAATATCTGATCTTTTATTCACCCAGACTCCCTGGTTTAAGACTATGTCGTGCCCACTGATTAGGTCTTTTGTAACAATTTAGCGTATGTCTTGCCTGCCTTCTTCATGCTGACCATTAACAAGGAGCAGAACATAATGAAGCAAGGCACTCTTGGGCAGCATTTACTGTAACAGGTATTAAAGTACGAGATTATTAAAGTCATGTTTTCTATGGATAAAGTCTAACTTCGACAACATAGCATTTCCCGTTCTCTCTCTCATTTTCAAATAAATGGCAATCCACTGCATATCCTGCAAGATTATCATCCCTTTATCTGTATATTACTGCCATATATATATATCCATACACACACACCACATTATATGCCAAATAAAGTTATCTAAGTGAAGATGTCAGCAGCACCTAAGTGCATCCGGTCCTGTACCATATTAGCCTTCATCAACACAAATCATTGGTTAATTCCAAGAAGCCTACAATAAACTTACTCTTTCTCAATATCTTTACCCTCCTGTACATTTTAAGGACCTCAAGTATGAAAGGCAGTTGACTACTGATTTTTAATAGCAGGCTCATGGAATTGAAACGGCAACTCCACTCTAACGGTGACCTGCTGCTGGCAGGGAGGTGATCCTGATGACATCCCTGGAGCTGACTGCACAGCAACCTAGGGTTGTAATCCATATACCCTACGTGTAATTCCCTGAGGGTGAAAACAGAGACTTTGCAATACTCTGAAAGATCAACAATCTGAAATTAAACTCTAATTCTCTTTGCAGATATTGTTTGGCCTGCTGAATTTTTCCAGCTGTTTTTGATCTTATTCCATATTTCCAGCATCTGCAATGCCTTACTGTTTTACCTGGCATGTACTACCATGCTGAGAGATAACAATATCAGATGGATGGAATCTATCCTTTCCTGTTTTACTGAGAGCTGGGGCTGAATTTTTTCATGCCCTGAATTACATGGGCAATCCTAAGACAATATGGAAAAACATATTATGAATTAAAAAATGAGATTCGCAACATCAAGAACAAAAGGTCATCTGATTCTGTACATAAGGTTTGAATGGGCAGATGAGAATCTTACTAGGGAGCAGTGAGGGACCTATTTGCATGTATTAATGTCTCACTATTATCTAAAGTCATCTCATTAATATGCAGGTTACTTACTTTCTCAGTCAGTGGAAAGAAACTAGATGGTCGCAATTCTGAACGTGACAGCTGCAACTTGCTGGGTGTTGTTTTTCATCTTGGCCAGCATTCCCCAACATCTCGTGGAAGGCTATATGGGCAGATACCACCTATATCCTTCGCTATGAAGACTGGCATTGGACCAGAACCAGCCTCCTTCTTATTTACCTATAATATAGTTCACCACTTCACCGCTGCACTTTGGAGCTTGCCAGCACCTATCATTGCAGCTAGATTGCCAAGCTGCATTGGATGCAGGCATAGGCCCTCATCTCATGCATCAGAATATTGCATTTTAGTTTGCGCTCTTAAGGCTCATTCACTTTGCCTCTTCTCGTATCCTCGTAGCATCTCTGCCTTGCCTTGTCTTGACTTTTTGCACCTTGTGCCTCATTCAGAACTTAGACTTTTACAATAGTTCTGTCTTGCCTTGCCTGTTAGAGGAGACATAAAGCCAGACAGCTTGTCACGTTTCCCAGCAATAATCAGTCAAGGGCATGGACAGATTGCTGCACTGTGCAGCACGCATGCAGCATGTACCAGCAGCTTACACAAAAAACACACTGCATGTACTTCAACCAAGTGACCATGTTAGGGGTACCAGTATAGTAAATCAAGGGTATGAGAGTCATAGAGTTGTACAGCATGGAAACAGACCCTTTGGTCCAACTCATCCATGCCAACTAGCTATCCTGAATTATTCTAGTCCCATTTGCCAGCATTTGGTCCATATCTCTCTCAACCCTTACTATTTATGTACCCATCCAGATGCCAGTTAAATGTTGTAATTGTACCAGCCCCCACTACTTCCTCTGGCAGCTCGTTCCAATCGCACACCATCCTCTGCATGAAAAAGTTGCCCCTTACATGCCTGTAGTTTCATTCCTGGGGCTTGGACACAGGCCATTCAGCCCTGTTTGGCATGTTCAGGGTTATAGATTCTGTATCCTTACAGATGATGAGTGGGGATTCAGTCCTGCAGATTCAGTGCAATCAGTTTGGGGTTTAGCAGTAAGCCAGTCAGGGAGCTACACAATATCAGGGTTCTAGTCATTGATAGTTGAGCTGCTATTTTAAGTCTGTCAGGATGGTGGATAACAGTCCGTCCTGGGGATCTTTCCATTGAAATAAAGGGGAAGTTTGCTGTGATAGGAAAGTTAATTGTGGGGATTGGAGGCAGCAAGCTGGGAGGCAGCAAGGATAATAATTGTGAAAGGGGCCAATGCAACATATAATGGTGGGAGAGCTTGGAAGGGCATGGGGTACTGTAGGAGGGTCATTGACAGTCACCATCACCCTGTCTTCAACGGGAGGACAGTGCATAACAATGTTGGGCAATACCCAAGCAAAACTAATCCTTTGGTCTAGTTTGCCAAGTGTCTCCAGCAAACTTGCCTGCTGCTCCTGTGTCAGCTTGTGCATCTTTATAAAGTTATTAATGGCCAACATCATGGAGTCCACTGTTGCCTGGAGCTGAGCAGATGCCTGATATACAGCAGTTCTCTAAGTAACAGCATTTTGGGCATTTCTTCCTTGGCCAGAAATGGAGATGTTCAATGATGTCCTCATCAGAATGAGTCTAATCTAGCTAATGTTATCACCAAGGTGTCAGTACGTGACCTGATGAAGGCTGCAGGAAATAGCATGACCGTACTTTCTCTAAGAGGTCTGGGCTTCTCCTTCAGAGGTTGAGGAAGAGGTATTGGCTGGAGGGGCTAATTTTCAGGTTGGATACTGTACAGATGCCGTTGGTGTATGCACAACACAAGGGAGGGAATGAATGGCAAAATAGAGGTAGAATCTTGGTCATGTTTAGAATACCTTCACAATGGTCATAATGGAAAAGCAGCCTCACACCTGTCAATGAATCTTATTTGGTTGGTGGGTCATGGAGGTCTTGGTATCACAACATGAGCTGGTATAGTCCTCTCTCATGAAGGCAACTTCTCTCTTCATGTGGGGTAAGGAGACTTCACCACCCATCTTGGCCCTCTCTGCAAGAATGAGATGAGTTAAGTGATATGAAAGTGAATAACACAACTCATGGTGCTATTGCAGGTTGGGGGGAGGGGAAACAATGATGAGGCATCCTGAGTGACTGAGTAGGAAGCAGAGAGGGCACAAATAATTGTTAGTCTGGAAATTGGGTGGATGAGAGCCATTGAGGGAAGTTATGGCATGCAATAGATTCAGATTCCTGTAGGAGAATGAAGGTGGAAGATAAACGCATAGGTGCTACAAAATCTCCAAGAAATATCATATTTACTTGCTATTTTCTCGGTGGAGAGGCTTTTGCTGTGGACAAAAGTGTTGAAACAATGTATGGAGACATATTATCAATTAGTAAGCTAAGTATTTGCTCATTTCTGGCCAAATTATACATAATCTGATGTAAATCAATGTTGTCTGAACAGCTATTTTAAAAGCTACATTTCATATTTTAATAGTTACTCCCACTTAACACAGATTCTACACCAAAGGTTTCATTATTAAGAATACAAATAGCAAAAATCAACCCATAGGTTCTTGTGTATTTACCTCTCCAATCAGAAATCATTTCTTATCAACGTAAGGGTGATAGAATTCACTTCATAGAAATTTGAAAGCTATGTTTTATTTTAAAAAATCTTGCTGGAATGATTAAGGGGTTCAGCATGACTTCTATGTACTACATAATTAATTTCCAGGGGTAATCAGTCTATCTTACAATTCATTTACAGGTAGACAATTA